GGCACCTAGCATGGCTAATGAGCGGGAAATGAAACCAAAAGTAATATTCGAGACCATATGAGTTGCATAAAATTCCGACCTGCATGGGAACTAAGATAAGCTAAGTATGCACGCAACAAAGGGGCAGAAAGACCAGGAAAAGTAATTGCTTACGTTTAAAGAAAGTTTAGATGGAACGAAAGGAATTATTCGATCAATGATCTAGAGTTAGTTACGTTATAAACGTATTTAAGAGTTCAGAGTATTATCCATGCAACATATATGTTGCCAATCATACAGCCATAGAAGACTCCTGTATAAGTTAAAAGAAAGAACTGAGTCCAGGTCATAGATAAGGGATTGAATTGTTAAAAGATTGTATCCTAGATATTTCATAGCATCCATGAAAGGCTAAAGTAATACCATGAGCCGCAGATCGGAAGATAGCTTACGGCTACATAAAGGCTGATCAGAAGGAAGAGGAAACTAAAGAGTTACATCAACAAAGTAAATCAGAAGTCTGATTATTGGACCCAGAAAATTTTAGAAATTGTGATTGAGAACATTGCAAAATCACTCTTAATATCAGAGGTACAAGAGAGCTAGTACAATAGCGATATTCTATAACGACTCTACGATAAAACCAGTTAGAAGAGTTCCAGCCTTATAAGAAGTCAGTATGAAACTTCTACCGGATTAGGTATGCACCAAAGGTGCAAGTGTTATAATATAGCTTCAAATTATGGATGTGAATTATACCTATGTAAAAGGGAGGTCATGAAAGATATAGAAGATAGAATGCTGCCCTGGTAGTAGAATGAGGGTGTAATTGTGATAGATAAAGGATGGCGTTTGGGCCTTCGATTGAGTTATGATTTGAAGAAAAAGAAAAAAGGGGAATTTCATGAATTGTACAGGACTAAAATACCCACGTAAGTGAATCACATTGGGACGCTATGAAATACGGTTATGGAAGTATAGTATCGCCCCTAGGTGGATCAGTCTAATTACTTCAAATGTTCAACGATGCAATGTGAGCCCTAGTGATTACGTAAGAGGTTTCAAGTTATCAGTGGTATATTGTAGATCAATATGGAGGTGAATCAACAACAAATGGACAAAAGTCACAAAGTATGAGATGAGATTAGGCCGTCATTCTTAAGATGAATAGTAATGAGGAAGCATTAAAGGATATAGATTTATACATATAGGATGAGCAACGAAAGTAACCTAGAGTTTGGTAGCGCGATAAATTGAAGTAAGAATTATGGTATAGTATGACCTACTTAGATACATTAAAGTCATACAGATGGATAACCGGGTCTATAAAGTGAGATATAGCAATATTCGTAAGTTCAACAAAGTACCGAGCAAAGAACTTCAGTATACCTATAGATGCCCAAAGGGACATCTTGTCAAGCTCTATATATGTTCACAAAGTGAGGCCTAAAGATTGGCTAAAAGCTGGAGGAAAGAGGAGAGAAGAGTCGCATAGGCGCACATACAAGGTAAGAGTCGTACAATCTGCATGATAGAAGGTAGCAATAGTTACGAGATTGAAAGAATTCCGACCACAAGTCATGGTATGAGAAAGAGGCCTAAAGGGGGAATGCACTGACCTTTGGATTTATTCACAGAACAGTTTCCTAGAAGTCAAGGACAGTGTAAAAACTATTCGTAAGAGATATCCGGTTATGAGACTGATAAGCGCAACAGTCAGCATTCGAGAACGAATGTTCCAAAGGGGGAAATGATGTTACACCCCGCAGTATTACATCGATGTTACACCCTGTAGTATTGTACGTTGAAATTGTCGTAAGATAATTGACCTCAGTTCAAGGACATAATTATTTGAAGATTATAAGTATTATGCTACTTCAAACAAGTGATAAGTAAATTCGTGAAGGTGAGAGAGTAAGCGAATCGAAGAAAGTGAGTTTTCGTCGAAGTTTGACAATTTGGGGATAAAATACAGTCCAAGCTATAATACCCCGTATTTATGGACTTGTGCCATACAAGGTACCACATGACCATGATAGTGAGGTGTATAAGGTATGTTAAAAGTGATTAGTATTTTAAGTAATTTGGAATAATTTTTAATTATATGGGTAATTGGTTAATTATTGGATTAGTGGAGGATTAATAAGTTGATTAAGAAAAAGGGTAAATTATTTTGGATAAACTTGATAGGCTCCTAACGTGGCAGCAAGTTTTGGCCTAATTAATGACTCTTAAGTCATGTAATTTGGTGGCACATTAGAGGACTTGTGGCCAAAGTCATCAAAGTGTGGGGCCCACATCCACTAATACAAAAGACTTCTTGAATTCACAAAATAAGATACTTACACCTCTAAAGTGACAGATGAACTTCAGCAAAGAAAAGTTATATAAGATTAGGATCAAATTCAAAAGTGATGGCAAATGGTGGTGGATCCCACTGTCCACTAACTACAACTATTATATTTACTTTTTGATGGATAAACTTATGTCTTGAAAATCTATGTATATCATCAGCAACGCTTTAGCAAGTGTGGAGGAAATAAATATTTTGCCTCTTCTCAACATAGTTTAAAAAAAGGTCCCCTTGAGAAATATGAGCTACAACGTGTGGAGGTAAAGATATGTCCTTGCATGGAAGAAAAGTGCGAAGAATAACATAGAGATTATGCCTACGTCAGTTTCCTCCAGATGATTGCAAATAAGCTTCAAAGCAAAGTAAGTTAGAAGAAGAGTGTAATTTTTCTCAAAGACAGTATACAGGTTTTGCGCACCACCTCGATCTCGTTGTTCTGTTTTGGAGTGTTGGTTAATCCGGGCTTTCTTCTATGTGAAGTAAGAAGGAATAAGGGTATTTCTTGGAAAACAAGGTAAGAATTTTCCTCTCCTTGGTATATTTAAATTCTTCCAGGTCATGGCTAAATTGTTGGATGAGAATTATGGGATTAATAGTGAAAACTCATATTTTGACGTTGCTATTGTTGTATCAGTTATTCGGTAATTTTCTATGTTTTTTTTCGTGGTTGGAAATCATTGGAGTAACTTGGATATATAGTTGTAGTCTTCATTGATATATATTTTGAAGGAAAGAAAATATTGAAGAAGTATGTTTGATAATCATAGCCGAGTTTGCCGCTCGTTATATCATAGTTTGGGTGGTAAATTTTGTTGTGGGAGTTGCTAGTTGTGTTGTTGTATTACCTTGACCATGGTAGGTTTGAGGGAATGATAAGAACTGGGGAAATATCGCTTGTTTCATTGTAGGATTGGTTACCTTCTTTTACGGATTAAGAGAATTTTTCGTGTGGTTGACAATAATATTATTCGTGTTATTGATAATTATGTATTGCTGGATTGCTCTGGTTATTGTTATTGGTATATGGTATATGAGGGGGATCTTGTTACGGGGGAGATGCTGCCCAAAGTTACATAAATGAGCTACTAATTTAAGTTGCAGACTTAGACTTTACTCAACACTAATTTTGAATCTCCGTATGCCATGGTAGATTGAGTTGAGTTGTTTGAAGAATTTCTTGGAAGGTATTATAGACTCAACAGGGTTAAGGTATGTTAAGGCTATCCCTTCTATCTTTTTGGCATGATCCATATGATACAAACGAAACGAACAAAATACGCAACTTTCATAAATGACTCTATTCATAGAAATACTAGGGGTGTCTATATTATTGATTCCCCATGTGAATTATTATAATATCCTCTGTTCATGGGTCTCAGAAAAATACGTATTTGATAAAGTTTATACAAAAGGCATATTGATTTTTATGGCATTCTCAGAAATCTTATTAACGTATTTCTTATGCATTTCATGCATTTATACATGTACATTGACCCATGACCAGATGGTGTTATATACACATATATTATATGTATATGGGATATGAGAAAAAGGTTATGGTGTTATATACGCACCACCACCTGATCAGCTAGTATACATTGATGATTTGCCCACAGTGGCCGAGATGATATGATGGGATGCCCTCAGAGGCTTGATGATGTTATGAACGCATATACCTATGCATGGTATGACATTTATACACATATGCATGGCATTGTAAATATTATTGATTCACAGAGTTATTCAGATTTACATGTTGAGTCTTTTACTCCATGTTTCTCATGTCTATTATTTACTGATTTTCATCCCTTATATACTCGGTACATTATTTGTACGGACGTCCCTTTTGCTTGGAGGCATTGTATTTCATGCTTGCAGGTCCCGATAGACAGCTCGAGAGTCCTTCAAGAAGGCTATCAGCTCAGCGGAAGGTGTTGGTGCGCTCCATTTACTCCGAAGTTGCTTGTTTGGTCAGTATGATTTAGGCGTGTATTGTTTGGTATGGCGGGGTTCTATCCCGATCTTATGACGTTTATGTACTCTTAGAGATTTGTAGACAGACGTCATGTACGTAAAAGATTGTATGGCCTTATCGGCCTATGTTTAGTGTACGAGTAGTTATTTTGGTCTTATTGGCGATATGTCTTATGTATAAATTGGTATTTCATATTGTATTCTACTTATCTCACGTCCGCCTCTCCGGATCAATTATCTATGATAGTATGATACGAAAAGATACGTTATGTTGGTACTCGATTGAGTAAGGTAACGGATGCCCGTCGCGGGCCATCGGTTTGGGTCGTGACACATCTATGGTAATCGAATCAACATCATCTCTATGTATTTGACTCAGCATATTATCCGTATCATTGACAATTGAATTACTTTCAAGTGATACATCTTGATATACTTCATCATTTGTAACATACAATTCGCCATTTTCTGTCTCTGAATTTTGCATCTCTGGCACATCATATAAGTGTCTATCTTGACAGTTTAGGACAATTCGCCAATTTTCTCCCAACTTCGGATCATCAATTTAAAATACTTGCCTTGCTTGAGTAGCTAGTACAAAAGAATCATGTTCATATCAAAATATATTAACATTGATGCTCGTAAAATTTTTATCTTTTTGCATCCGTGCCTTCTTGCGGAAGATCAAACCACTTGCATTTAAATAACAGAACTGGATTGCCATTAAGATACTCTAACTCAATCATGTCAGTTATAATACCATAAAAATAAATCACCTCATTTTCATGATAGCCTTCAACAACTAGACCGCAATTTTGACTTTTACGTAGTTCATCGCGTCTTTGAATATGGTACCTAACACCATTTACAGTACATCCAATATATGTTCTTCCACGCACATCAGGTCCTATTGCCAAAGGATATAACTGAATGATAGACACTGACTTTTCCTTATTATATAATTGCATAATCTACGATGAAAATATTATTACTTTTAATTAGTAAAGAGGAAAACAAATTAGAATTTAAACACATTAAGATGATTCTTATCGTACAAAGTTACTTACTTTCCTTTTGAACCATAAAGGAAGTTGTTCTCTATGTTTCTCTTCTATATTCACAACAACTTGCTTCATCAACTCTTCTTTATGCTCCCTGTATGCAAAATAAATTACTTATAAATTATTTAAAATAGAAAAATAACAGTAGAGAGAAAAATAACTTACCGAAGAAAAGGTTCTACTTCTTCGCAATTATTCAACACATACCACCGAGCCATATCAAAATCTTTCTTTGGTATGGTATCATAGTTTCCATCTCCAAATGGTCTAACACACTTTGAGAATATGTCCAGAATAAGTTCATCTTTGTTACTAAATCCATCATCATTTCGATCTTCACGATTAAATCTTGTTTCGATGCCAGTACGATAAATAGAGCAAAATGTCAAACATTCATTAATAAGATAGCCTTTTGCAATAGAACCTTCTGGTCGTGCCTTGTTTCGCACATAACGCTTAAGCTTGCACAAATATCTTTCAGTTTTGTACATCTAACGATATTGTACCGGTCCCCCATACATAGCCTCTCGTGATAAATGCACAGCCAAATGTACCATAACATCAAAGAAAGCAGGTGGAAAGATCATCTCAAGCTTACACAATATTAAAATTATATCCTTTTCTAGTTGTTCTAAGTCATTTTTTTCCTCAATGTCTTGCAACATAATCGTTGAAAGAAATCGCCTAACTCAATCAATGCTGAAGAGACATCTTTATTTACAAATCCACGAATAGCAATAGGCAGCAGTCGTTGTAACAAAATATGATAGTCATGACTTTTGAGTCCAGTTATCTTATCATCATCCGCACTTACACGCCGTGAGATATTTGAAGCATAACCATCAGGAAATTTAACTGATTTTAAAAATTTACAGAACTCCTTTTTTCACTTTTTGACATATTATAACAAGCAGCTGGCATTGTATAACTAGAACCATTATCCTGCAACCATAGTTCTTTTCTTATATTCATATCCTTAAGATCTTGTCTTGCTTTATATGTGTCCTTAGTTTTCCCTTCAATATTCAGTATTGTCCCCAAAATATTCTTGCAAATGTTCTTTTCTATGTGAATGATGTCTAAATTGTGTCGCAACTTCAAGCTCTTCCAATATGGCAACTCAAATAAAATACTTCTCCTCACCCAATTCAACTCTTCAGGAAGACGTTTTCTTTTCTTATTATTTGGGTGTTTTCCTGGTCTATAAGTACTAAGAAAATTCAATTGCTGTAAGACATCATCTCCTGAGAGCTGTTTTGGTTTTAATCTTTTTTCTATCTTACCATCAAATTTTTTGCTTCTTCTCCATGTGTGCTTAGGTTCAAGATACCGGCGATGATCCATGTAACAGATTTTACTTCTTAACTTGTGTGAAGGTGCATCTTTATTGCAAGTAGGACATGCCATGTATCCCTTAATACTCCATCCAGATAAATTACCTAATCCATAAGAAATAATATATGCTCACATTAGTTTATATTCCTAAACTATACTAAACTTACTTACAAATAGTATACTAGTAAAACTTATACAAAATCTTCTATTTAATAATTATTTAGACATCTTGGATAGTAAAGAATTTAAGAACTTACCATAAGCTGGAAAATAATTTATGGTCCATATAACAGCAACATGCATCTTGAAGGACTCCCCTGTTGATGCATCAAATGTATCGACACCTTCATTCCATAACTCATTCAATTCATCAACCAAAGGACGCAAATAAACATCAAAATCCTTTCATGGTGCTTGAGGACCAGGAATAAGCAATGACATTAACATAAATGGATCCTTAAAACATTTCCAAGGAGGAAGATTATAAGGAACTAGAATGACAGGTCACATACTATAAGTTGTACTCATGTTACCAAATGGATTAAAACCATCGGTTGCAAGACCAAGTCTAATATTTCGAGGTTCTTGTACAAACCACTGATGATTCTTGTCAAATTCTTTCCACTCTTCAAAATCAGCAGGATGCCTTAATACATTTGGCTCATCAAGACCTTTATCTTTATGCCAGCTCATGTCCTCACTTGTTTTTATAGACATAAATAACCTTTGAAGTCTCGGTTTTAATGAAAAATATCGCAAGACTTTATAAGGAATCTTTTTATCCTTTTCGTTATTAATTTTTCACCTTGAAGTACCACAATATGGACACTCTTGTCTATCTTTAAGCTCACCCCAATAAAGCACACAATCATATTTGCAAGCATGGATGGAAATGTTTCCTAATCCCAAACCTTGCAGCATGTTTCTAGCATCATAATATCACTTAAGAAGTGTCTCACCATTTGGCAATGCCTCTCTTAGTAACTCTAGCAACATATTAAATGACTTATTACTCCAATGATTGTACACTTCCAAGTATAGCAACTTCACAAGGAATGAAAGCTTTTAGAATTTCTGACATCCCGGGTATAATTCATGTTCAGCTTCTTCTAACAATTTGTCAAACTTTTTGGCTTCCTTCTCATGCATATTACCACATATATTATTACCAGTTATTGTCTCCCCCGAAAAATTGGCAAATGATCTTCCACTAACATTTTCTAACATAGCGTTAATTCCATTATTGTTTTCATGTTCTTCATCTTCATCTTCATCTTCATCTTCATCTTCATCTTCATCTTCATCTTCGATGTAAATTGCTTCATCTTTGTCTCTCCTTTGCGATTGTTCCCCATGGTATATCCATTGCACGTAACTTTCCGTAATTCCTTTTATCAAGAAGTGGTCATACACTACCTCTTGTGTTTGAAGGACATCGAACTTTAGAATTTCGATCAAAGTTTGACCGAACGAGTTGCATAAAAGATATAACACCCTCAATATATTGTTTAGAGAACTTCCGTTCATGCATCCAACCTTTATCCATGATCAACTGCACAAACATATCGACAAAGCAAGCTAAGTCAACCATGCGGTAATAATTGAGTTTTAATAAAGCAAAAGGGAAATGCATTTATAATATTTCAACATGTCATAAAACTTCTGCTGAGAAAATAATAAAGAAGAAAAGAAAAAAAACACAAAAATTAGGAGAATATTGCTGGACATAGTTCACTGTTTTATTAGATTATCTTGCCTAAAATCTAATTAAAACACGAAAATTATAGAAGATTTACGAAAGAATTAGGATCATGTAATAGGAATGTGTACATTATGATGAAACAAGTTTAATTGAATAACGAAACATGATCATGAACTCTTCTGGACGAAGGGACTACAAAAGAAAATTAAGAAAAAGAAGACTAATATATGAACGGAAAACTATTTTTGAGTTCAAATTTCTCTAGCTTTTCCCCTGAGAAGACTAAAAAGGTAAATCTTTTTTCCCATACGTTATTATTTCATAAGGTTGTGGTTATTTGAATTTATCTTTTATCTTGCAATATGTTCTGCTGCTCCTAACTTCTACAGTTGACTTGAGGATGGCATAGTTACATGGTTACAAGATGGTTACCAGAAACTCTTAAGAGATTTGTTAGTGAATTGGCCATACAATTTCCGTTTGATCCAAACTGCGCCTTCATGGCTAGAATAGCTAATTATAAGTGTTAGTTAGCTAATTACATTAGATTAGCATTAGTAATAAATAGTTAGCTAAATAAATTGAGCCTGTATATATACACAATTGTATAGCACTTGGGAGTATCAATCAATGAACGAAATCCTATTTCTCACTTCTCTCTGTTCCATTCATTCTTCTTCCCTCTATTCTCTAATCCCCCTTTCTCCTTCTAATGCTTTTCGTAGTGAAGGTAGTCTCTTCATTCCAGTGATATTTGCTTGTACACTGATTTCTTAAAATTTAGTGCAATATATGACTTCCTAATTTATCGTTTTCCTCTGAATCCCAGCCAAGTTAAGTAAATAAGTACCCATCTATCCATATATAAAAAAATCAAACTTCAATTCATTCTTACGACAAATCAATTCATAAATCAAAACTTAGTATTCGGATGTAAAGAATTAAATAGAGAGGAGAAGGCAACGACAAAAATAAAAGAGGAGAATTTACCAGAGTGGTCTGATAGCGACGAAGGGGAGGGCCAATAGCAACGAGATGCAGCGTCACGCGAGGGCTGCGGCGACAATTCGTTTTTCTGAAAAGGACGGATGAGGCGAGATGTTTGAGGGCTTGCGGTGACAATTTCTTGTTTGACAAAAAGAGTGACAAAAAGATTTTTTTATAAAAATAGAAGAAAAGGTGTAATCCAAAACCTGAACAGATTGAAGCTCCAATATGGTATCAAAGTTTGAAGAAGAAAAATTAATCAATTATGCTCACCTTGCTCATATGCGGAAAACTGAACAAAATATATATGTGAAAACACACTGTATACGGTCAAAATCGGGCCTACCCGATTTTGCTGTTTGATCGAGATAAGGGAGTTGCATCGGGGTAGTCTCGTAATAAATCAGATCCGAGTTCAAAGATGAGACATCGAGCCTAAAGATCGAAGTGTACGTTAAGACCGAGGCCAGCAACAATCGAGACCAAGTATGACCGACTTCGAGGGGAGCATAATAACAGAATGACAAGATATCCGTAACCGGTTGAAGATCACGATGAAAATTTCAAAATAGATAAAATCAAGAGCGGTTATTGATACCAATCATGGGATTTCGTAATTAGAATTGTACCATAACTAGGAATCCTCTAGTATATAAAGGGGAGTCCCCATCATTTGTAAGCATCTGACATTCACGAATATCAAGGCAATATAATATCTCTTGCTTCGGTTCATCAACTTACTGTTCTTTAAATTGTTCTTACTTCATTATTCTCGAGGGTTCATCAGCTTGAGGGCATTGTCCAAGTATTGGTTTGTTTTACATTCTTGTCAATTCGCATCGTTTATCTCTAAGTTAATCAACTAGTATTGAGCAAAATCGCGTTATCCTTAAAACCATGTTACAAGTTTAATTGTTACTCGATTTTTAGGGTAAAACAGTTTGGCGCCCACCGTGGGGCTAAGAATAATAGTGATTGTTCAGTACTGATTCTGGTAAAACACACTATTTCATGCTTGTTCTTGTCAAGTATCTTTGCTTTTAGGTTAAAACATGTCAAACTCACAAAACGCATCCACACACGGTGACAATGGTCTCGGATTCCATGGTGAAAACGAAAATGTGATTGCTCCAAGAGTCGAGGTGCCACAGGCTAATCTCGGGGGATCACCGGTTGTTAACCCAGTCGATGTCAGTTCGTACATTGCTCTAAACGCAGACCTAGGCGTAGATCTCGATGGGAGTGTATGCAGAGAAGGCCAATCTAGTGGCCAAGGAACACATGGCAGAGGAGACAAAAGAGTCAGTCTC